TTAATCCTCCCATGGGATGGAAAATAGTCGTATTATTAGACCATCCAATGTGTTCGCATTACGATCTGCGTTGTAAAAACATGAACTCTTCACGCTTTATTATTTAGTTTTGATATAACGTAATGAAGCTTCAAAGTACGATGAAGCGAATCCAATAGAAAATCTGATATCAATAAGGAACTTTGATCCAGATTCCTTGTATGCGCTAACCCCTGACAAAAGGAAAGAGAAAAAATACTTGGCTTACTGCCGATCGTACTGCCGGTCGGCAAGTGCCAACCAACTATGTACATTTTTTTCCATTAATCAATTGCACCGTCTTAAGTATTAATATCCGTGATTCAAACAATGAAGGCAACGTATTTGGAATTACCGATTCAACATTATGTAAGAAATTGTTTGTTGGTATTCCTTTATTAGATACACCTGTGAATACGTCGGCTGGTGTTTTAAAGACCCCTCCCATACGCATCTGCGATACTATATTTCTTGTTTCGATACCAGAAGTCATTTAATATTTTGTACTAAACATTTAGAAAATATACAACAGATATTTTGTTTGTCTGGTCTTTCCATTCCGCCAAACCTTAAATGGAACGTCCATTTAATTGAACACCAAATTAAATTATTTATACTACGCTTTCAGAATTCTTTCAAATTCACTCCGCCTCCTCGTTGTCTATATTTCACGAATGTTTATTCTCGCCAGAGATATAGAATAATATTGTAGGGAAATACATCTTATTGCTCCCAAACTTTTAGATTATAAAAAAGAATTGTAGGAATAATAAGCAAATACCATCCACGTGATTCTTGTAAACCTCTCTTTATTAATCTAGGCATTTTACCATTACCTTGTCAGTGGTATATATGAATCAGTCATATATGAAGTGGTTTTTGTCAAAAATGACTTACTTAATAGCGGGAATATATTTTCTGTTGCCTATAACTACAACTTTCGACGTAGTAATCATATTCATCAGGTGACAGTATGAATATCTCACTACAAAAAATTCACATACAATACATGTTCATCATTTTACACCTTGCGAGATGACATTAAACGATTAAATTCAATGCAAAAGTTTACGTCAATCTTGCCTGCTGCTCAACTGTTCTATACAATTAGAGACTACACCAAGTATCCAAAAGTAGAGAAATATTAATTTTAACAATGACATTTAATGTATTATTTGCCATTTGGATTGTATAATTCGAAAAAACCTGTACCAAGAATTGTACTTCATTTTCTGGGCCAATGACTCCCCGCGTCGTTGAGGTTTTCGTCCAGTTTCCCTGTTCCTTGAGCAAATGCGGAGATGACCCCTTGTTTTGCTTCTGGGCATAAATGTAACATCAAATTAACTTCTCCCCATAGCACGTCACACACA